CCAGCCACCAGTGCATGGGCAGGGCTGGGTGGGGACCCGCTCACCGGGCTGTCACCTCCCAGGCACCGGGGAGACCCCCACGCTGAGCACCCTGGACTTCTACATGGCCAAACTGCACAGTGCCATCGAGAGCAACCCCCTGCAGCACGAGCCGCTGGTGCTGCGCGTCAAGGAGATCCTGTCCCGGATCGCAAGGTGAGCACAGGGGCAGGGGGTGATGGGAGCTGAGCAGGGAGGGAGTGGACAGGAATGGGCTCAGAGCTGCTTGGGGGAGCTGTGGGAGAGGGAAGCCCTGTCCCTGAGTTCAAGGAGTATCCCCAAATTCAAAGACAGAGCTGCTGGAGCAAGCCAAGAGGAGGCCACGGAGATGCTGCCAGGGCTGGAGCCCCTCTGCTCTGGAGCCAGGCTGGGAGACCTGGGGGGGTTCACCTGGAGAAGAGAAGGCTCCAGGGAGACCTGAGAGCCCCTTGCAGGGCCTAAAGGGGCTCCAGGAGAGCTGGAGAGGGACTGGGGACAAGGGATGGAGGGACAGGACAAGGGGCAATGGCTTCCCAGTGCCAGAGGGCAGGGTGAGATGGGATATTGGGAAGGAATTGTTGGCTGTGAGGGTGGGCAGGCCCTGGCACAGGTTGCCCAGAGCAGCTGTGGCTGCCCCTGGATCCCTGGAAGTGTCCAAGGTCAGGTTGGACAGGGTTTGGAGCCGCCTGGGCTGGTGGAAGGTGTCCCTGCCCATGGCAGGGGGTGGGATGAGATGAGCTCTAAGGTCCCTCCCAACCCAAACCATTCTGGGGTTCTGTGCTTTCCTCCCTCCTCAGTGAACACTTGTGAGAGGACCAGTCCCTCTGGAGCCTGGGGCTGGCTGGACCCTGTCCCTGTCCCTTGGAGCTCACGCAAGGGACAGTCTCTGCCAGGGGTCCGGCTGCTTCCCCCCCACCCCTCGCACCTTTCAGCGTGAGCCGGGACCCCCCAGCCCGACCCTGCGGCTGCACCAGCTCCAGGACCTCGAGCTTCGGGGGAGAGGTGGTGGCAGAGCTGAGAGCCCATCCAGTGTGGGGTGAGGGGTCACTGGTGGTGTGAGCACCCCCCACTCTCCCATGAGCCCCCCAGCTCCGCCTTGCTCAACCAGGGCTCCCCAGAGCCTGATGAGGAGGTGCTGGCGGGTTCTGACCTGGAGTGAATCCGCCTCTTCCAGGGTGACTGGGGGCTGTGGTGCTGGGGGGGTAGCGGGGGGGTGACCAGGAGTCCCTGGGGAGGCAGTGAAGTGACCGGGAGTCCCTGGAGCTTGGCACTGCCTCCCGGCCCCAGACCAGCTCGGGAACCCCTTGGTGCCATCCTGCAGTGAGATTGGGGGCAGCTCCTTCCCCCTGCCTCTGCCTTTATTTAATCATCCCCATGGGTGCCTTCAGCCACTGTCCCTGTCGCTTTGCCTGGCCCCTCTCTTTCCCCCCCACCTTTGGGACCAGGCAGGGAGTTCCTGAAGGCAATAAACGGCCTCGTGCTGGAGGGGAGCTGGGACAGACCCCTTCCTGCAGTGGGGACCCCTGGGTGGGGAGGAGCTGGGACTGACCCCTTCCCTCAGTGGGGACCCTGGGTGTGCTGCACTGGCTTTCAGCTCCTGCCCCTCGCCCCCTGCCTGAGCCCCCCTGCTCTTGTGGGACCACTGTGCTGGCAGCCACATCTGGCCGTGCTGTGCCGGGGTCGGTGTCCCCGGGGCTGCCTGTCACTAATCTCAGACTGTAATTAGAGAGTGTCTTATTTTCTTACTTAGCACTATGTGTGCCTGGCCTGGCTCTATCGTGGGTCTGGGGTATTTCCCCACCCTCTCGCCTGCCAGGCCTGTGCTCTGTACCTGCATCTCTGGTTTGCCATCTCCTGGTGCCGCTGGGCTTGGGATGGAGATGGGAGCAAATAAACGTGGGAGAAAACCACTCTGGTCTCTGTGTGTTCATGCTCGGAGGGGACTCTGGAGCTGATGCTGGATCTATTCCCAGAGGTGCTAGGGTTGGTCAGTGCCCAGCCAGGGAGGGTGGGATGGCACCGGCTCGGCTCTCCCACCTCCAGCCTGTGCAGGGCCCTTCTTACGTGGCAGAGCTCACCCGATCCCCGCGGGTGACCTGCCCCCCCAGCTCAGGTTCCCGGGCGGGGGGATCACCTTACGGCCGGCGGGGAGCCAGCCCCATCCATAATTCAGCGGTGCCGCCGGGATGCAGCGGGCGGGCAGGCACGGCCGGCAGCCCCCCGAGGGGGGGCCCCTGGAGAACGGCGTGGGGCAGGAGCCGGGGACCCCCGAGCCTCCCCCCGCCGAGGCCCCCGCGGCCCCCCGCGCCCCCCGTGCCCGGCCCAGGCTGGTGTTCCACACGCAGCTGGCCCACGGCAGCCACACGGGGCGCATCGAGGGCTTCACCAACGTCAAGGAGCTCTACGCCAAAATCGCCGAGGTCTTCGACATCTCGCCCACCGAGGTGAGGGGCTGCGGCGCCCGGGGAGGGGGCTTTGTGCCCGAGGGGGGACACCAACCCTGACGTAGTGGCTGTGGCCTGTGCTCCCACGAGTCCCCAACTCCTTGTAAATGCAGTCCCCAGAATGTCCTGGAAAAGAATGCTTTAGTCCCTGGTCTCTATTGGCTCCTCTGGGGAAGGACTGGGGGGTCTTGCCTCTGTTTCCCTCCTGCAAGGGGGCAGGGAGCCAGAGTTGCCTGTTCCCTGGCTGATTCCAGCTGCCTGGCACTGTGGGAAGGTGCGTGGGGATGGGGTAGTGTGGGGTCCTCAGGCAGGCTGGGGGTCCCTGGCCCCCACTGCTCTAGCAGTGCCCAGACCTGACTGGCCCCTGCCTTGACTCCTGCCCTGGGCCCCAACACCAACAGCCCTGCTGTGCTGGGGCATCGCCAGCCCTGCTGACGGGGCTCCCCGGGGCAGATCCTCTTCTGCACGCTCAACACGCACAAGGTGGACATGCAGAAGCTGCTGGGGGGGCAGATCGGCCTCGAGGATTTCATCTTCGCCCACGTCCGGGGTGAGACCAAGGAGGTGGAGGTGACCAAGACGGAGGACGCGCTCGGCCTCACCATCACGGACAATGGGGCTGGCTACGCCTTCATCAAGGTGAACCCCCCTAGGGGGTCGGGCTGGGGCCAGGGCAGCCCTGGGGGCTGTGGTCCCGTGGGTGACATCCCTGCTGCACCCCCTCCCTGCGACCAGGCTCCTCCCTGACTCCCCCCTGGGTCTCCACCCTGGTCCTGGGGGTCTCCCCTGCCATGGGGAAGTTTGGGGGGACCCTCCCTGCCTGACCCAGCTACTAAAGGGTGGGGGCTGTGTCTGACTGTCCCACTGTGCCACCCTGTTGCTGTGTGTCCCTGTCCCCCCACCCCCAGAGGATCAAGGAGGGGAGCATCATCAACCGGCTGCAGACGGTGTGTGTGGGGGACAGCATCGAGGCCATCAACGACCACACCATTGTGGGCTGCCGGCACTACGAAGTCGCCCGGATGCTGAGGGAGCTGCCGCGGGCCCAGCCCTTCACCCTCCGCCTGGTCCAGCCCAAAAAGGCCTTCGGTGAGTCTGGGGGTCCCCCTGGTCTTGTGCTGGGGACTAGGGAAACCTTGGAATTGTCTCCAGCCCCTGAGGCCCTGCAGCCCCCTCCCCAGGGACCAAGTGCCTCACGGATCCACCCCTGTCCCATGGACACCCCTAACCTGCACCCCTATTCTTCGTGTACTCAAGGCACCCCTACATTGCCCATATTTAGGCACTCCTCAGGTGATCCCTTCCCCTGCTCATACTCCCTGGGGGCACCCCTGTTCCTCTGTGTGCCCTGTCCTAGGCATCCATGAACACCCTGTAACCACGAGCATCCCTGAGTGTCCCCCACACACCACCCCTGTTCTGCACACAGCTCACCCTGCAGTGCCCCCGGGGGGGGCTGGGGTATGACTGGGCAGGGGGCAGAGGGGGGCTGGGGGTGCCAGGCCCTGCCTGGGCTCTCGCCCCACCTCACCCCCCGCACTGGGGCACAGACATGATCGGGCAGCGGACGCGGAGCAGCAAATCCCCAAGCGAGGGCAGAGTGGCCACTGGGAAGGAAACGCTGCGGCTGCGGACGCAGGGCCCGCCCGTGCTGGAGGAGGGGGTAAGACCAGCCCTGAGCCCCTACCCTGACCCACAGCACCGTGCTGAGGTGGGGATGAGCATCCCTGCACCCCTGGGTGGCCTCTCTGCTGCCCACACCCGCAGCACCCACCGGCACGGCTTGGTGGGAGCACAGGGGGTCCCCAGCACTGACTCCCTGGGTCCTCCAGCCCAGCCCCTCCGAGGAAGAAGCTGCTCGCCGGGTGGATGATCTGCTGGAGAGTTACATGGGCATCCGTGACAGCGAGCTGGGTGAGCTGGGGGGCCTGGACCCTGACCCAGGCCTGCCTCTGACCCTTCCTCTGCCCCTGCCCCTGCCCCTGCCCCAGCTCAGCCCCTGCCCCAACTCCTGCAAGGGCCCTTCCCTAGTTCCAGCCCCGGCCCCTTCCCCTGCCCCAGCTCCAGCCCCTGACCTGTCCCTCCTCCCCCACAGCCTCGACGATGGTGGAGGCGGCCAAGGGCAGCCCCGGCGCGGCCCAACTGGCCCGCGGGCTGGACTCGGTGCTGGGCGAGTTTGCCTTCCCCCCGGAGTTCGTGGCCGAGGTGTGGGCGGCCGTTTGTCACCCCAAGGAGGGGCAGGAGTAGCTGGAGGGTGGGCAGTGCCCCTCGCTCCCGTCCCCTCCTCGTCCCCACCCCACCTGGGGCTGGCAGTGCTGGTGGGGGTCCCCATCCTGTCCCCTGGCCCTCCTGAGCGCACCCAGGTCTGTCCCCTGGGTTGGGGGGCAGCAGGGTACCCAGCCCACCCACCTCCCCCAGAAGCCCCCAGACGCGGTGGGCAGTGGCTGTGGGTCATTAAAGCAGAGGCTGGAGCAGAAGGGCTGTTGCCGTGGTTGTCAGCAGGGCTGGGCCCCACCCAGGGTCCCCCCGGGTGTTCACCCGCAGCGAGCACCGGGAGCTGCACCGGCTGTGCTTTATTGGGGACGGGGCCCTGTGCCCCCTGCCAGGCCCCGGGGGGGGATGCGGGGCAGGGACAGCCCCTGGATGCAGGTGACGGGGACCCACCGAGGGGGCGGGATGGGGGGCTGGCCGTGTCCCCCCAGCCCGGGGCGCTACTGCAGGACGGAGCCGGCGGTGAGCTTGCGGCGCAGGGAGGGCGTGAGGGACACGATGGAGGGCCGGGGGCGCAGCCGGGGGTACACGCGCTGCAGCACCGCCCGCCGGAACAGGATGTACACCCAGGGGTCCAGGATCTGGTTCCAGGTGACCATGCGGATGTAGATGAGCAGCATCTCCTGCGTGTCCGTGGGCAGCTCCTGTGCCCGCCCGCCGGGCAGGCGCTGCAGCGCCGTCTGCACGATGAAGATCTGGGGGAGGGAAGGGGGCAGAGCGTCACTGGGGGGGTCTGTGAGCTGAGTCGGGGTGCGGGAGATGCTGAGGGTCCAGGCACTGAGCCCCTTGGAGGGGGGTCCCAGGCTGGTCCCAGGGAGCACCTGCTCTGCCTGCAGGCAGTGCTGAGCCCCAGAGCCCACAACCCAAGGGCCAACCTGGAATGCAGAGAGGTGGCACAAGGGGGACACTGAGACCCGGGGGGACACCCCCAGACCTCACCAGCAGGAGCATGGCGGGACCACGCTGAGACCTTGGACCTCCCAGGGAAGAGCAGGGGTACACCCCAAGGGTGGGACAGGGAGGAGTGGTGATGTCAGGGGGCATCGGGTCAGGGGCCTCACCAGGAGGGGCATCCAGCAGATGGTTGCGATGATCATGATGCCCACGAGCTGCACCATCATCTCCACCTCGCTGTCGCGGCGCCGCTGCACCGACTCGCGGTCGTGGTAGACGCGGCAGAGCGTGACCACGCTGACGGTGTTGAGGACGAAGGAGAGCAGCACCGACAGGATGCCCAGCAGAGCGAAGAGCAGGCAGAAGATGATGTCGCCAGTGTCGGGCAGGAGGGTGAGGAAGCACCAGGAGCCGGGGAACTGCAGCGTGTACCGGCCCAGCCCCAGCACCGGCAGCAGCCCCAGCAGGCAGGAGAAGCCCCACACCAGCCCCACCATGGCCCAGGCACGGCGCTTGGAGATGCTGGTGGAGCGGGAAAAGGGGCGGTTGATGCCCAGAAACCGCTCCCCGGCCATGGTGGCCCCCAGCAGCAGCGGGCACTGCCCGAAGAACACCATGGAGAAGCCGAGGAAGTTGCAGAGGTGGCAGTCGGGGTCCACCTCGGCCCAGGGGAACTTGATGAAGTGGTAGGGGATGATGACCGAGGCTGTCACCAGCAGCCCCATGAAGTCCGTGACCACCAGCCCGCAGAGGAAGATGAGGAAGGAGGAGCGGGCGTGGCTGGAGAGCTTGCGGGAGGAGCTGAGCAGGACGCAGAGGGCGAAGAGGTTGGAGCAGAGGCCGATGAGGCCGAAGGCCGTGGAGAACCAGGGCGAGGCGATGCTGCTCCGCGCGTTGGCGCGGCCGTCGCTGGCGTTGAACACCCCGAAACACGAGTGTGCCTGCCCAACCACGCTGCTGTTGGGGGGCTCCATATCCCCCACCCCCTCACGGCTCCTTCTGGCAGCTTCAAGCACCCTCCTGGCTCAGCTCCATGGGCTGTGCCCCCCACTGCCGGCACCGAGCCCGCCTTGCCCTGCAGGGAGAAGGGAGGCGTTTAGTGCTGTTCCCCATCACCCCCCCAGCCTGGCTCCCAGTACAGCCCTGGGGGGTGCCGAGGCCCCAGCCCTGCAGCTGCCGGGATTAACCGTCCTGGGCCACGGGCCACGTGGGGCTGCGGCCACGAGGCCGGATCCCAGCACGGCCCAGCACTGGCTTAGCTCGCTCCTGCTCCCAGGGGGACTCAGCCTGACACCCCTGGG